CAATAATGAGAGGGAATATATTAAAAATATTTTAACTGATCAGCTGCCTCCTGCACACCCCCTAATGGGGGATGGAGCCTGCAACCCAAGCATGTGCCCTGACCAGGAATCAAACTGTGACCTCCTGGTTCATAGGTCAATGCTCAACCACTGAGCCATACCGGGCAGTCGCAACTGGGCATTTTTTAATATTTACATTGGCTGTAGGAAACAGCTCATAATTGGATTTCCCTTTGTCAATTCTACTTCATCTTCTTTCTTATTGGCTTGTCATTGTGATTTACCATCAATAATAACTACTGATGGATGTACTTATGCCATTTGCTCATTGCTTCTCATTTGTGCCACTTTTGCTAGTATTCTTTTTTTTTTAAATATGTTTTATTGATTTTTTACAGAGAGGAAGGGAGAGAGATAGAGAGTTAGAAACATCGATGAGAGAGAAACATCGATCAGCTGCCTCCTGCACACCTCCTACTGGGGATGTGCCCGCAACCCAGGTACATGCCCTTGACCGGAATCGAACCTGGGACCTTTCAGTCCGCAGGCCGACGCTCTATCCACTGAGCCAAACGGGTTTCGACTGCTAGTATTCTGTAGAATCCTCTTCATTCTTTTACATTAGTCTATGCTTTTAGCACTTCATTTCATACAATTTGTTAGTTATTAGGTATCTATTTTTTCTAGTTGATCTAGGGCTTATAATATCCATTTTTGGGCAAATGGTAGTTGAATATTAATGAAAACAGGAGTTTTGCAAAGCTTTTTGAACCTTGATATTTACTAAGCGACCTGCGTAAATTAGCTTCCCCTTATTTCACTTAAATTCAGAGCCACTCTAGGTCACTACAGCGGATTTAAACCGCAAACAGCAGCGCTGGACTCTCTGTGCTAACACACCCGGGGAGCCCCACCATGCAGCTCCTAGTCACGGTCATCCTCACCCTGTGGGTCTCCTGGGCTCGTGGACAAGGTGAGTTGAAACTGATGGGAATATTCAACTCCTTCTTAAGTAGGATTTGACCTTTTTCATTTGTTTTTACTTTTTTTAAAATCCTCACCCAGGGTATATCTTCCATTGATCTTTAGAGAGAGAGTGCAGGGAGGGAGAAGAGGAAGAGAGAGAGAGAGACATTGATGTGAGAGACACATGGACTGGTTGCCTCTCTCACATGCCCCGACCAGGGCCCAAGGTGGAAACTGCCACGGAGGTATGTGCCCTTGACCAGGAATCAAACCCACCAGCTACGGCTCTTTGAGGATAATTCACCAAAACGTTGGTCTCTACATTCATTAGGGACAATCTCTCACAATAAGTCATTGGCAGGAATGATGAAAAGCACCGAGACCGGCTAAATAAGAACCACCTTTGGCCCAATTCATCCGTCCCTGTGCAAACTGGGTGTTTCTACTGATTCACAACAGGGAGTGCCAATGTGGGATTATTATTCCAAATCTTAATGGTGGCTTCTAACAGTAGGAACAATGTGGCCTCATGGGTTTGTACAGTCTCAGCTGTTACTCTTTTGGATAGAGGAACCTGCCCTGGCAATGTTTTAACAGCACCATTTACTTTCATGGAGATGATGAGAGTAGGGAATTACAATTTCTCAAGGGATTTATGCCCACTGCTTGAAAGCAACCACCAGAAGTTCTTCTATTCCTAACTAATCTAACAAAATTCTCCCAATAGTATTTGGCTGGTCTCTTAGGGAAATGTGTCTCACATGTTGGACTTTAAGCATTGGTGTTAAGTGTAGCTATACTATGAAGTGAAAACTACCGTATGTAGACTGGACTGCAATGGTAACATGAAAATGTGATAGATATAGCAGATTAAAATGTGAGAGAAAATAAATGCATTTTTTATTTTTAAAATATAGTTTATTGACTTTAGAGTGGAAGGAAAGGGAGATAGAGTAGAAACATCAATGATGAGAAAGAATCCTTAATTGGCTTCCTCCTTCACACCCACTCCTGGGGATCAAGGCCCCAACCAGGCATTTGCCCTGACCAGGAATTGAACCATGATTTCTTGGTTCATAGGTCAATACTCAACCCCCAAGCCACACCAGTCTGGCAAAACAATGAACATTTTTCAGGTTCATTTGAGGTTAGTGTCAATTAACATTAAACTCTGGAGACATATTTTATTTAACACTTGTGTCCAGAAGGTCACATATATTTTCTACTAGTTTCTATATAATTGTTATATATATATATATAAATAGATAGATAGATAGATAGATAGATATAGATATATAGATACACACACACACACACACACACACACACACAGGATGCTCTTTGAATGCCCTTTTGCCCTTTGGAAAGAACAAAAAAACATGACATTCACTTTATTCTCATGTCCTTGATGATTTTCATGTGATTTCTGCTTAACACACTTGTCCTTTTACTTTTCAGAAATAGCATGTGACCCTCCAATAATTGAAAACAGTCACTACATTCCTAAAAGGACCAATTACAGACTGGGACAAGAAATCACGTACTACTGTACAAGTGGCTTTTTGCCTTCCTCCCGGGGAAATACTGCAACATGTACTGACAAAGGCTGGGATCCTCCTCCAAGATGTAGCTGTAAGTTCCCTCCAGATCTTCACCTGCTTCTTAATTCTGCAATTACTTCTCCTAAACTTAAAAATAAAGGGGATCTGTCTGGCCGGCGTGGCTCAGGGGTTGAGCATTGACCTGTGAACTGGGAGGTCATGGCTCAATTCTTGGTCAAGGTACATGCCCAGTTTGGGGGCTCAATCCCCAGTGTGGGGCATGCAGGAGGCAGCAGATCAATGATGATCTCTGTTCATTGATGTTTCTGTCTCTCTCTCTCTCTCCCTCTTTCTTCCTCTCTGACATTGATTTAAAAAATTAAAAGTTAAAAAAATAAAGGGTATCTCATAAGTTCAAATCTTCACCTCACTGAGAAGGTAAAGCAGAGGTCTTCAAGGCGGTCTTTGATTTCTAAAATCCCCAAATCTAATTAAGAACAAAACCACATTTTTATTAATAAAAACTTGTAATTTTTGTTATTCAATGTTAAATATATGTATGTGTATGTATGAATATATATTTCTCTCACTAATATTCTAATATGTGAATGAAAACATTGAGTAAGAGCACTACCAGTCAACACCTAGAACATGAGATATTGATGTCTGTGTAACAAACGCCCCCGAACATACAGCCTCAGACAACAGCCCCCTCTGTGTCAGCGTTGGCGGGTCAGGATTTGGGAGCCTCTTAGCTGCCTGGTTCTGGGTCCTCCCTGCTGCTCCCTGGGATGCGGCCCAGGGCGAGTGCTGGAGCCTCCGCAGCCGTCCACCTGGGCGTCCCCATTGGCGGCCTGAGGGCAGGAACCCTCCCCAGAGCGATGACCTGAGGGCCCTGGAGGCGCCTCCAGAGCATCAATGACCTGGTCACACAGTCCCCTCAGCCACGTGACCTCTTCAGAAGAGCGCCCCTCAGTGCAGCCTCACTCAAGGGAGGGGCCCGGGGCTCCCTTGTAGGAGGGGATGAATGTGGGAGACATTGTGCACTTTCTAAAGCCCCACCTGTCACACACGCCCCTCAGTCCACAGGGCACTTCATTCCTGGGGGGCTGCCCCTTTTCCAGTGTTTTCTGTCTCTACAATCTCATTGCTGCTCCTTGTGTATCAGCTCATTGGGAAAGGGGCCCACACTTAAGCTGGATCTTCCAGGGATGACAAATGAAATGACACACATAACAGGTCAATGACTCAGGGTTCATTCAAGGCCAAGGCCAAATGTTGACAGTCAGGTGCCTTAAAGAGGAGGCTATTTCCACAGCGAAATAGACCAGTGTGCATAACAATGACAAGGAGAGTGATGATTTTTGCAGATAATATTGACCTACAGTGTTGAATTTCTTTAAGGTGTTCACTATAATGATTCCCTATTTGTATATATTGTGAAATGATCAGAAAACAAGTGTTATTCACATCATCTGAAGAGTATAATTTTTCTTGTCCTAGAAAGCCTAATGCAATGAGTTTAATTAGGTGCATATGGGAGTATAATTCATCAATGAAACAAGTTATCTCTCATTACATTTATATTAAG